AGAGAGAGAGAGAGAGAGAGAGAGAGAGAGAGAGAGAGAGAGAGAGAGAGAGAGCGGCCTGGATAGCACTACAGAAGCGCCACAAGAGCAAGGTCGCATAGGCCAGGTCGGTTATGTGGTCTAGGTAGGTCTCCTGTAGCTAGGTCGCGTAGAATTAACAAAAAAAAAAAAAAGAGGCAGGTGGATTGAGTCTACATTTCAACAGTTTATGGGGGTACCTAGTTCCCTTCCCCCATCCAACTGTCAAGCTTACGGCCACTATTCGACAGTTCATCTCTCACACGAGGGCAGACCCACAAGGACCTTACTGGATCTACGCTTTGACAACCCGCTTTTACAGCCACGCCTGAATGCGCCTGACCACAATTGCATACAGAGATAATGCAAAAAAGTTCAACGCCCTTTTTGCCAAGTTTTGGTCATTTCTTTTCCTTTTTCCAGACATTTCTGCGTGTTGAGTGCGAGCCGTTCCTTTTCTTAACCACTAACGAGCTGTTTTTTTTCTTGGCAGCGCATTATTTTTTCCAGGACGTCAGAGCAGTGTGAGAAGCAGGAACGTTATTAGTTTGGAGGACGTCCTGACATAGCATCGCCGCAAACGAAGGACAGCCCGGCAGATAGCGAGAAATAGAACAGGAAATCTACGACGCCAGCATCCTCATTCGCAGCAGAAAACCAAAAGAAGAGCAAAGAGACCACATACGTGTCGCAAACGCAACGAAAAAACACTAACGTGTTGCAAACACAGCCCAAAAATGCTACCGTGTCGCAAAGTAGAGCGCACAAAACCGTTAGAATTCCACATTTCCAGGGATTCCATCCCTGGATATGAGAATCCGATGGCCAAAACCTCACAGAAACCAATGCACTTGGCATGCAGCGTTGAGCGAGTGGCCCACTAAGCTTTAGACTCTTTAGAGGTTTGTTGTTGATGATGCTCGTTCAACAAGCATTTTAGTACAAGTATAACACTTCACAATCGAAGGGAGAAAGGAAAGGGAAAGAGGGGGGATTTCAGAACAGAGGAAAGACGAACTTCATACAGGTCTCAGTACTCGTCACCAGAGCAGACCACTATAGAATGCTATAGAATGCTATAGAATGCTATAGAAAACGATACAGTTCTCAATTCTCACTGCCAGAGCAGACTACTATAGAATGAGACTAACGGCCAGTCAGTGTTTGGGTTGAAGTGTGACTCTGCCGGTTGCAAATTCACTATTGGCACACTGTCACAGTGTCTCATCTTGAATGTGTTCGAGGTGTGACTCGCCGAAGTAGCGATTTCGCAATCCCCCTGCCACGGACACAGCATTTAGGGCCTGGTGTGTGTGTGCCCGGAGCCTGCGAATCAAGTTTTTCACCACTCCCTTCTCAGTCCGTATCCAACCTGTAGATAGGTAGTCTAGTGGGGATGTCAACGAATGGATATCGGAACTAAGCCTGTAGATAGGAAGTCTAGTGGGGATGTGAACGAACGGATATCGGAACTAAGTTCAAAAGGGTTCACAAGTGTTTGCTACACAGCAGGTCCGGAGACGGTCTATTGACATGAACAGCAAACGGATAACGGTTTATTGAAACGGAACAGCATTTAAACCAGCACTCCCTCAACAGTCGTGAACTGGCTTTCGGGGACCTTTGGAAGTCGGTAGGCCCGAAGAAAGCAGACGCTGACGGCAATAAAAAAAAAAAAAAAAGGGTGCCAACTTTGGTGATAGTTTTTCACGCTCCGAAGAATGCTCCAAAAATTCTGAAAATTGGAGAGTTTGTAGATCAGATCCTGATCTTTCCAGGAAAAATACTTTAAAAATGGAAAAGAAAAGAGCACAAAAAAAAAAATCTCCACGCAATTTGGCACATTTTTTTTCATTTCCCGCTGCCACGTGTAGGCCAAATCGGTCCGCACAGGGGGAAAAGTGTTCCAACTTCAGTGATTTTTCTCGCTCAAAATAACGCACTGAAAAGTCTTTAAAAAAATGGAGCTCGTAGATTAGGTGCTGATCTTTCCAAACACGTATCTTTAAGAAAAGAAGACTTCTGAAACAGAAAAAAGAATCACGCGCCAAACTGATCGTTTTTGCAACTTTTCGGTGATTTTTTTTTTTTTCACTTCCCCCAAGACTGCGCTACCAGTAGGCCTGATGAAGTGCTGCTACCAGTCCCACAAAGTTGTTCGCGTTGGGGGGAGGTGCAAGCAGGGTCTGGGGGGAAGTGCAAGCGGGGTCTGGGGGGAGGTGCAAGCGGGGATCAGATCCGTGACCCCATCAAACTGACAGCATTATTACCAAAAGGGGTCACAAACCACTGCAACCCCCAGACGTAAGGGAGTTCACAGCTTTAAAAAAGACGACCAGCTATTCAATCTTTCCTGCAAGCTTAAATGACATAAAAAACTCCACAGTGGGAAAACTACAATCCCTGAGATCTTGAAGACAAAGAGAGTGGCGAGAAATACACAATGCAATTCTATGACAGGGTCATCTGCTATACACACAGAGATCATGAAGACCCCACCTGCTACGGAGACGAGTAGCTGGATATTCAATGACCAGCATTCACCCATCAAACCGCCTGTTCTTTCTCTCCCTTCCCGTCCCTCCCGCGCTAGCCCGCAGCCTTTGTGCATGTGCAATTTGTGAGCATACATGCAGGAGCTGAAATTTGGCCTTGCCACCTCAACCTCTTTCATCCAAGCACCACTTATGCTCTTGGAAATTGGAATCTCTTTTATCATCACTGGTTTGCCTCTTTCAATATCCACATCCACTCAACAGCTCTAAGTCTAGAACTGAAGCAATCAACAGTCGTTCCCTTCCGGCGCTCAGAGGGACAGGGCCCCACATCACATGCCTGCCACCTCCAGGCCCTGACAGCATGAAAGCCACTTTTAGCCAGGATTGTTGCCAGGTCAGCAAACGTGACCAGAGCTTCTGAATGCAGGAAAATTTGAACAGATGAAACGATAACTAAAACCAAGACCATATACGGCAATACAGAGGGTGATGCTGAGCTTAACCCTCCAAGTTACCCACTATTCTTCCTTCCATTAGGCACATCTTCACTAGCACAACACACTTCCGCATACATTCTCAGCTCCATCTCTCTCTCTCTCTCTCTCTCTCTCTCTCTCTCTCTCTCTCTCTCTCTCTCTCTCTCTCTCTCTCTCTC